TTTTAAACTGCCTGTTGTATTGTCCCCATTCTGGTTTTGGCTGGTTTGTTTTTGTTTTTGTTTTTGTTTTTCAAAACAGTGGAGGGTGTGAGACACGATAGCCCTCTTTTCTTCTGTGTTGTGGACTAAGGGTCCCGTCCCCTCCCCACCACCCCAGCTGAGGTTTGCTCTCCCCCTTGCAGGCCGCTCTAACACTCTTGCTCTAATGCTCTTGCTCTCGGCCTTTTGTATCTGCTGTCTGGAGCACAGATTGCGGAGGAGCTCTACATTAAGAGAGACTGAACAGAAGATGCAGTAGACATGTACACTCGGGCGGGCCTCTGGGAGCAAGCCCACAAGGTAGAGAGCGGGGCGCGGTTCGTCCGAGGGCTCCACCTCTCTGGGGCCGTCCCCACTTTCCTTGAGCTCTGGTGGCCCCTCTTCACTGGCCTCCTTGAAAGCTGAGAAAGAGCACCAAAACAGAAAAGTCTGGAGCACTTGGATACCTAGCCACATTTAAAGGCAAGGATGAAGAGGCCCTTGTTCCAAACCTGTAATTTCAAAGCGAGCAGAAGGGTTTGGGAGCTGGGGAGCCCCAAATGCCCCTCCCCAAGCTGTAGTCACAGTGGCAACATCGTTCCCTGCCTGCGCCCAGAACCTGGTGGGTACGGTGGGAGCACGGGAGTGGGAACACGTGCCCCAGCACAGGGCATCTCTGGCCTTTCTGCCTGAGCAGAATATAGTCCTGACTTTGCTCCTTATGGTCTTGGAATTCCCTAGACTGACCAGGAAAGCATCCGTACACAAAACCCTGTGGTTGTTGGGAAGGTTCAGAGTTGCTGGGAACACAGGTCACCCCCGAGTCACGCTTCCTTGGCCACCCTGCAGCCCCCCTGCTTCCCTCAGAAGCGCGCCGGAGGCGACTGGGGCTCTGTGTGTCTGCACAGCTGGTGATGAAGTGCATGAGGCCGGAAGACGTGTCAGTGCTGTACATCACCCAGGCTCAGGAGACGGAGAAGCAGGGCAAGTACCGGGAGGTGGAACGGTGAGCCACGGCCCCAGAGGAGGCGTGCAGGGAGAGGGGTGCGTCTGAGGATGCGCGCCGTCTGCCTAGAAGGCAGTGATGCAGGAATCTGGGTCGAGGAGACCCTGGGTGTCTCTCCCCTCCCCAGGCTCTACGTGACAGTGGAAGAGCCTGATCTTGCCATCACCATGTTCAAAAAGCACAAGCTGGATGATGATATGATCCGCCTGGTAGGGAAGCACCACCCAGATCTCCTCAGTGACACACACCTACACCTGGGCAAGGGGAGCCCTTCTCCGGTCTCGGCCATCTCTTCCCCGAACAGGCTCCCTGTCCCCCTTGCCCCATCCTGACCCTCCTATCCCCAGTTGCTGGAGGCTGAAGGCCGACAGCAGGAGGCCGAGTATCACTACCTCGAGGCTCAGGAGTGGAAGGCAACAGTGAACATGGACCGGTCCAATGGGCTTTGGGAGGAGGCCTACCGGGTAAGGAGTCCAAGTCACTCTGGGGACACGCCCGTCCCTCTTCCCCACTCTCAAGTGACGCATTCTGAACTGGTCGTGGGTCTCTTTGAAAAACGTCTATACCAACAGGCAAAATTTCACATGCAGTAGGAGTGGTCTGTGGACTACCTGAAGTCCATCCTTGGACCCTGAGCAGCTAACNGCTAACAGACCCCAAAACTGAGCCCTCTCCCTGTTCTAGTAGAAAGACCTGACCCTTGTCAAAGCTGCCGTCCGGTCAGAGGGGGAAGGGAGCAGCCCTGTGGCCCTGCGTGGGAGGATTGCCAAATGGCTTTGCTTCACAGGTGGCCCAGGCTCACGGAGGAGCTGAGGCCCACAAGCACGTGGCCTATCTGTGGGCAAAGAGCCTGGGAGGAGAGTCCGCAGTGACACTGCTTCCTAAGCTCGGACTCCTGGAAGCTGCCGTTGACCACGCTGCCGACAACTGGTGAGGCCCCACGGCTTCTCTCCACTGGCCCCTTTTGAGACAGAGCCTCTACATAGACAAGGAAAACAGCTGTATAGCTGAGAAGTGTTTCCGAAAATGGAGGCAGGAGTAAAGAAATCCTTGGAAGAACGTGACGGAGAGGCAAGGAATGAATCAGTAGCTCTGCCCCTGTTCCCCGGGGGCTCAGAACAGTGTTTAGCTGTTCCGAGAAGATGGAAAGTGATCAGCTTTTTTTCTTCTTTTTCAAAAAGACCTTTTTAAGTAATTACTATACCCAGTGTGGGGCTTGAACTCAACCGGAGATCAAGGGTCCCTCATTCTACAGACTGAGCCAGGCGGGTGCCCCAAAGAGAAGAGCTTTTAAAGCGAAGGTGCACTAAGCCAGTAATTGACTTCTGAGTAAGGGAAGTGTGCTTCTGTTAAGTGCAAAAAGAGCTTTTCTTAAGCAAATGTTACAAAGACCAGTAATAATCCTGCATCGAGTCAGATGGCTGAGGGTAGTCTTAATGTTTTAGAGAGACCGTTTTTCTGCTAGTATAAATGTGGCTCAGGAGGAAGTGGTGGAGAACCTGGAGCCCTTGCTCCCGAGGCAGAGTAGAGCTGTGAGGCTCACTGTGGTCCCCTGCCTCGTGCGCCTCCCATTTCTTTATGCCCACTGGTCCCAGGAAGCATAGGCTTTTCCAAGTGTCCCCGACCCACGTCCTCCTTTACATGTCTGTGCGCTTCTGTGTCACTTCACATGGATTGTCTTCTCAGTCTTTCCTTTCCCTCCCCCGGCCCCGTCTCTACCCTTTCTGATTTCTCTTGTCCTGCTCCCCCTCTTATACAATGAAAGTACCGAGTAGGCAGACCTTACCTACACCTTCCATTTCAGCTCATTTGAATTTGCTTTTGAACTCTCCCGGCTGGCCCTCAAGCACAAAACCCCTGAGATTCATCTCCAATATGCTATGTACCTGGAGGATGAGGTATGGATGTGCTCCTTCTCCCTTGCTTTTGACCTGGACCTGCTCCTGTCTCACGGCTGCCATGACGGCAATCTGCCGCTGATCGTGTGCGGCTGCTCTTCTGTCCCTGCAGGGTAAATTTGAAGAGGCCGAAGCTGAATTCATCAGGGCTGGTAAGCCCAAGGAAGCAGTCCTCATGTGAGTTACCCATCAATTCCTTACTCCCGTCCTCCCAGCCGCAGCCCCAGGACCTGGCATTGCCACCTTCACCTGAACCTAATACCAATAAATCTTCTACCCCCTCTGACATGGCTGCTTGTCTCCCACTATTGAGGACTCAGTCCTGTGTTGGGCCTCCCGTGTCCTCTTCTGGGAGCAGGTTCGTCCATAACCAGGATTGGGAGGCAGCTCAGCGTGTGGCTGGGGCTCACGATCCTGACAGTGTTTCCGAGGTGCTTGTGGGGCAGGCCCGGGGGCCCTTGGAGGAAAAGGACTTTCAGAAAGCAGAAGGGCTGCTGCTTCAGGCCCAGAGACTGGGCGTGGCCCTCAATTATTATAAGGTAGAGCACCGGATTCAGGGCCATGGTGGGGAGAGGGAGAGTGTGTAAGAACCCACAAAGCACTACACTAACCAGTACTACTGGGAAAGATCTAGAGAGTTAGCATTGGGGAGGGGGAAGGAGACAAGAAGGAGAAGAGAGGTGCAAGGACCTAGGGATCCGTGACCCATAGTATAGAGCACCTGTGTGGCAGTGGGAAGTTGTCATGCCGGCCTCTGCCTTCCTGATACCTGGAAATCTGAGCAGGAGGCTGGATTATGGAGTGACGCCCTGCGGATCTGCAAGGACTATGTGCCGGGCCGGCTGGAGGCTCTGCAGGAAGAGTGTGAGCGGGAGGCTACCAAGAAAGGGGCCAGGTAGGACACCAGGAGGCAGCAAGTGTAGGCAGGGCTGGAGGGTGGGTCACAAGGTAAGCACGGGATAGACCACGCTGCCCAGCCTGTCTGGTCACGTGTACTCTCATCTCAGGGGCATGGAGGGGCTCGTGGACCAAGCTCGCCAGTGGGAGCAGGCTGGAGAGTATAGCCGTGCCGTCGACTGCTACCTCAAGGTGCGGGACTCAGGCAGCAGCAGCCTGGTGGAAAAGTGCTGGATGAAGGTGAGGCGGGCTCCACCCTTCCTGGCCGTCCACTTCCCGGACCGCTCTCACAGCCAGCATTCCTCCTCAGACATTGCTTTTTCCTCCTGGGCCTCTCATTTTCGCTCAGGCAGCAGGTACCTGCTGAGTGCTTGCTAGATGCTAGAGCCAGAACTATGAAAACTATAAAAGGGGATCTGAGGCGGAACCCCTAACAGCCTGAAATTGGGGGAAGTTGGACCACTGTGGCTCAACTAATTGAGTACCTCGGTGAAAACTAAAGGATGCGATTTGGAGTTCAGAGGAGGGTGAGGTCTCGACTGAGAGGGAGGGAGGCTTTGTGAGGGAGGGGGCAGACCTGGGACCAGAGCTGGAAGGGCAAATCCAGAGGCCAGAGCGGGGGCCAGATGGAAGCCAGGAAGAAAGCAGAGTCTCCTCCTCTACATAGAAGCTCCTAAAAAGAAGAATCTAGCCGGTTAAGCCAAGTCGGTAGGTTTCATCAATTCCTAAACATATATATAATCACATTTTATTATCTTAGAAATTGGGTTGCATGTGAAGTTTTGTGNCTGTGGCTCAACTAATTGAGTACCTCGGTGAAAACTAAAGGATGTGATTTGGAGTTCAGAGGAGGGTGAGGTCTCGACTGAGAGGGAGGGAGGCTTTGTGACGGAGGGGGTAGACCTGGGACCAGAGCTGGAAGGGCAAATCCAGAGGCCAGAGCGGGGGCCAGATGGAAGCCAGGTAGAAAGCAGAGTCTCCTCCTCTACATAGAAGCTCCTAAAAAGAAGAATCTAGCTGGTTAAGCCAAGTCGGTAGGTTTCATCAATTCCTAAACATATATATAATCACATTTTATTATCTTAGAAATTGGGTTGCATGTGAAGTTTTCTGGTTTTTTTTTTAAAGATTTTATTTATTTATTTGACACAGAGAGAGAGATCACAAGTAGGCAGAGAGGCAGGCAGAGAGAGAGGGAGAAGCAAGCTCCCCGCTGAGCATAGAGCCTGATGCATGCTCCATCCCAGGACCCTGAGATCATGACCCAAGCTGAAGGCAGAGGGTTAACCCGCTGAGCCATTCAGGCGCCCCTGCATGTGAAGTTTTAAATGATGTATCTGGGGTACCTGGGTGACTTGGTGGGTAAAGCATCTGACTCTTAATTTTCGGCTCAGGACATGATCTCAAGGTTGTGAGATCAAGTTCTGCATTGGGCTCTGCAGTGGGTGCAGAATCTGCCTTAGATTCGCTCTTCTTCTCCCTCTGCCCCTCCCCACTCGTGCTGTCTAAAACAAAAAATCTATAAATGATGCATCTTTGATTCAGAGAAATATGGTATTAGGAGTTTGAGGGGGATGAGATTGATCAGCTCTCTAAATAAAATGTTGGTGCAGTGATGCCACTGCAGAATTCCCCTCGGGTTTCAGAGGCCTTGGAACTGAAGAGCCCTTAGTAGTTGGTGGGGGGCGGTGTAGAAAGAAGGACTGATGGTTATGCAAATGTAATCAGCAAGTGTGTTTGAAGCACCTGCTGTGTTTTACTCTGGAGCATTGTTTTTTGGCATCTGTACAGGACTATACCTTCTATAGATTAGTCAGCTTCCCGGATGGGGCGCTTTAATCTTTGGGGTTTGGCAGGTAAAGAAAGCAAGGCAAGAATAAGTGCCCGGATGGCTCAGTTATTAAGCCTCTGCCTTCAGCTCAGGTCGTGATCCCAGGGTCTTGGGATCAAGCCCCAAACCTCTGGTTCCCTGCTCAGCAGGACGCCTGCTTGTCCCTCTCCCACTCCCTCTGCCTGTGTTCCCTCTCTCGCTGTCTCTCTCTCTCTGTCAAATAAAGAAATAAAATCTTAAAAAAAAAAAAAATAGGTGGGGGAGAGACTAGGAGGATTTAGGAAGACTATAGCTAAAACGGACCATGTATGTGGAAATTAAAATCCAATGAGGATGTCAGGATCACAGTGGAAAGAGTAAACTTATAGATTGCTCAGGTTTGTAGAATTACTGAGTTTTAGGGCTGGAAGGGGTCTCCAAGGTCATCTAGAGCAGCACTGTCCAATAGAAATAGAATGCAAGTCACAAACGTAAGTCATACAGGTAAGTTTAAAATTTCCTAGTATAGCTGCATTCAAATAAGTTAAAAGAAACACAAGAAAATACGAATATTTTACCGAATCAAATATAGCTAAACTCATTTTAACATGTAATCAGTACTTTGTCGATTTTTAAAAAATATTTTGAGGGAGAGAGAGCGTGTGTGCATGCACTCACAATGGGGAGGGGAAGCACAGAGGAGGTGGGAGAAGCAGACTCCCCACTGAGCACAGACTGGCTGGATCCTAGGATCCCAGGACATGACCTGAGCCGGAGGCAGACGCTTAACTGATCAAGCCACCCAGGCGCCCCTTATTGATTGATTGATTGTATTATTGATACTACTTATTTCTCAACTTACTGAGGTACTTTGAGGTATTTCTCAACTTACTGAGGTACTTTACTTTCACTAAAACTGTGAAAACCGTGTATATTTATATACATGTATATTTAACCGGACAGCGCATGTCAGTTGGGACTGGCTGCATGTAACTAGTGGCTTCTGTTCTGGATGGTGCAAATCAGAGCAGCCGTCACTTACAGGTGGAGAAATTGAGGCACAGAAAAGCCCAACACAGTTGCAGAAAGTCTTCTTTCTCTGTACTGCACTGCCAAGATTCCGTTTGTGACAAAGAACTTGAGAAGCCAGTTTGTCTGAGAGGGGCAGGATCAAACGCAGTGACCTCAGACAGCATAGAGAGTGTCTGACAGATGAGTCCACTGGTGGTCATTTCAAGGCTATGAGGGACCATGAGGCAGGTCTTGCCCAGGAGGGTAGAAGGTGCAGGAGAGAAGGTTGGCAAGTGAAGGGAAAAAGACCAGACTGAGGACGCACAGTGGTATTTTGTCTCTCCTACCCATTGTCATCTCTTCCACTTCTCAGGCAGCTGAACTCGCCATCAAATTTCTGCCTCCCCAACGCAGTCTGGAAGTAGTTCGGGTTGTGGGACCCCAGCTGATTGGAATTGGAAAGCACAGTGCGGTAAGCAGAGTGCTGGGACTGAAAAGAAAAAGATTCCCCGGAGAGGGGTGGAATGGTGCCATCTACACGAAAGGCATGTGAGGTCGGCCTCATGGCAGGTGTGACCAGCAGTTAGTTCTGTGGAAACAGGGGAGATGGTCTCCAGGCTCTGATTTCCTACCGTGCAGGCTGCAGAGCTCTATCTGAACCTGGACCTAGTCAAGGAAGCGATCGACGCCTTCATTGAGGGTGAGGAGTGGAACAAGGCTAAGCGTGTGGCCAAGGAGTTAGATCCCCGGTAAGCTGCTGACCCCTTCTCTCCAGCAAATTCTCTTACTTCATTTTGTAAAGAGGAGGAAGTTCTCATGGGAAGGGTGTGTATGCTGGGACCGCGTGGCGCTAGATCCCTGCACATCTTCATAGGTATGAAGACTACGTGGACCAGCATTATAAGGAGTTCCTCAAGAACAAGGGCAAAGTGGACTCGGTGAGACTTGCAGAGAGTTAGCAAGAGGCCGAACGCTCAAGGGACTTTCTCCCTCCTCTCCCTGCTCATGTCCTCTCTGTCCTCTTAACTCTTGTCTTTTCCACTGCCCCATAGCTGGTGGGTGTGGATGTGGTGGCTGCTCTGGACCTGTATGTGGAGCAGGGCCAGTGGGACAAGTGCATTGAAACGGCTACCAAGCAGGTACTGCTCTCCTCCTCCACTCCCTAGCTCTTCCGGACATTACCCCTTGGCTCGCCTTGCCCCAGAGCTGTATCTCTTAACTTCCTCCAAAGCCCAACCCCAGAGATCCCTAACTAGCATCAGAGAGTCAGTCTTCCACCCTTTTGAAACTGGAGTCAGAGGCCTAGCTGGGCCTGACTTGCATAGGCCTTTGCCTCCAAAACAAATCCATGGCCTCAGATTACCACCCCACCCTCACTGCCTGGTCTTACCGATGGCCAACCTCCCCCATGCTTTTCCTCCATCTCTGCGACAGAACTACCAGATTCTGCACAAATATGTGGCTTTGTATGCGACTCACCTGATCCGAGAGGGTGGCTATAGCCAGGCACTGGCCCTGTACGTGCAGCATGGAGCCCCTGCAAACCCACAGGTACCAGCCTGCTCCTCGGGGTGATGGTCTCCCCAAGGAAATTCTTACGTCTCCTCAAAACCCACCCATCCCCTCAGGAACTGTCTTCTCAAAGGATTGTTTTAGAGAGCATCCTGCCCAGAGACCCACACCAGCCTCTTCTGAAATGTACAGCCTCTCAAGACTTACCATTTGAGGAAACATTCAGCAACCTCTCCATGCTCTTAGCTAATACAGGGAAAGGCCTTTCAGAGATGAATCTTAGTAAGGCCCTTGAGGGTGTGCACCTCTAGGGCCTTACTAACCTCCCTCAGAGACCAAACACTGCTCTCCTCTCTGAGCACCCCAGCTACCTGGAATATCGGCCCATTAACACTGGGACTGCATTCGCATTCACACATCTGTCCACATGCAGACCACCAGTTGTAAGAGAGTTATTTTCTTACTTTTGTCTTCCAAAAAAGGATCAACACTTTCTCCATCACTGTCCCCTAGCTCCTCCACAAGCACACTGACAGCCTGTTTCCTCTTTGGCCCCACGTGCACTTTCTCTTCTAGTTACCCCTTCTCACTCAGCTCTCCTTTCGCCACCACCCTAGAACTTCAACATCTACAAAAGGATCTTCACGGACATGGTGAGCTCCCCTGGGACCAACAGTGCTGAGGCCTATCACAACTGGGCTGATCTTCGGGACGTGCTCTTTAACTTGGTGAGGAAGTCGGCTCTGTGACAGAGTGACAAGGCTACCCTACTGCTTTGTCCTCTCTTCTTTGAGGCACATAAATATTTACCTTCAGATGGGCTGCACTTTTGTCCACATGGCCATGAGCTCTCTGGCCCTCCTCCAACCCCTGACCCGGGCTGCGCTCTCCTCCTGCTCTAGTGTGAAAACCTGGTGAAGTCTAGTGAGGCAAACTCTCCAGCCCACGAGGAGTTCGAGACGATGCTGCTGGTTGCGCATTACTACGCCACTCGCTCGGCCGCCCAGAGTGTCAAACAGCTGGTGAGATGGCAGGGAGGGGCAGTCTTAAGGGAAGCATCTTCCAGTGCATGAAGTTGAATAAATTCAAGTTCCGGATTCTCAAGCTTGGTCCACTTCTCTCATAGCTTCTCTTCCATTTAGACAAATCTTTACCCCTCACTGAGGTGGCTTTCTTCCTGGACTGCTCCACTGACTTTCTTAGGACTCTGACCACATAGCTCCAGCCTCATTATACTTAAACATTCAAATCCCACAATTTCTGCATTGATCTCTTAAGATATACACATCCTTTTGGCTTATTTGTGATCGCGTATTGTAAATTTGCTGTGCGTACTTGAATAACAGAAATAATCTAGGCTTAGTTCTCTGTGCCCAAGAAAAAGATCCAGAACCGTTTGAGAGCAATTTAATATGTATTACTGGTTTTCTGGTTCTGTGGCTGCCTTAGCCATAAGGTTACTGGGCTGGTAGCTCAGTCGCTACAGTGCCAGGATCATAATGCTTTCTTTGATTTTAATCTGTAGGAAACTGTGGCTGCCAGGCTTTCTGTTTCACTCTTACGCCACACCCAGCTCCTACCTGCAGATAAGGCCTTCTATGAAGCAGGCCTTGCAGCCAAGGTGAGCTGGGACGAGGAAGGGTGTGCAGAGGAGACAGGGAAATCAAAAGTTGGAAGGTGGAATGCCCTGTCTATTCAGGTAGAACAAAGCAGAGTGTGGGGCTGATGTTATGGAGGAAACTGTATTCCTGGGTCTTCCTGGATTCCGCCTCCTCCCTGGAAGAGCAGCATCCAAGCCCAGCTGCTCACTCCTACTTGCAACTTTTCTCTGTTGCAGGCAGTTGGCTGGGAGAACATGGCATTCATCTTCCTCAACCGCTTTTTGGATCTGACCGATGTGAGTAAAGAAGTTGTGCCCAGAGGGCGGGAGGTTTCACCTGTCATGGAAATGTGTCTATCTCATGGCTGCCCACTCTGCCACAGGCAATTGAAGAAGGGACTCTGGATGCCCTTGACCACTCTGACTTTCAGGATACAGACATTCCCTTTGAGGTGCCACTCCCAGCCAAGCAGCACATACCGGTAAGAGCGTGAGACTGGACACGGGGGAAGGCCTCACCAGCGTGAGGGTGTTTTGAAGGGAGGACACTTTATCCCTTTATGTTGGTCCTCCTAACCTTTGTAATGGGCATCAGCTGGCAACGTCTTTGGAAGGGCCTCAGCCCTCACTATTCCTTCAAAGTAGAAGCAGAGAAAAAAGAAAAGGTGGTGACGAGGAACCCCATCCAAGGAGGATCACATATGGGGAAAAGATGATGCACAGGATGACAGTTTAGTAAGACTCCCAACTCCCCACCTTCCACTTGCCCTGCCCTGCATGAAGATGCTGCTTCTTTGTCCTTCCCAGGAGGCTCAGAGGGAAGAGGTTCGAGACTGGGTACTCACAGTCTCAATGGACCAGCGGCTGGAGCAGGTTCTGCCTCGGGATGAACGCGGTGTGTACGAAGCTTCCTTGGTGGCAGCGAGCACTGGCGTTCAGGCACTACCCTGCCTCATTACAGGTACACAACCCTACACCTATCCACGTTCCATGGTGGGCGGAAAGGGAGGGGGAACAGCAGGCTCAAGAGAGTATTTTACTCTGAAATTGCTCTTGGTTTTCCCTCTCAAATGCCAGTTCGTCTTTTTCTTCTCCCACAGGATATCCCATTCTGAGGAACAAAATTGAGTTTAAGCGGCCAGGGAAGGCAGCTAACAAGGACAACTGGAATAAGTTCCTTATGGCTATCAAGGTTAGAGAGGGAGATTTGGAGGGTGCGGGCGGGGAGAGCAGCACTGAAAAGTAAGAAACTGCTAGAAGGGTGGGTGGGAATGTCAGGAAGGCAGGAGCAGGCCCTGGACTCTGCTCTCCTTACTGACATGGGGTTGATTTTCTTTAGAGAAGAAGCGCTTTTCCTTAGCACTAATGAGTTCCTCTCTTGTTCTACTGTTTGTCCACAGACTTCCCACAGTCCAGTGTGCCAGGATGTGCTGAAATTCATTAGTCAGTGGTGTGGAGGGCTACCCAGCACCAGCTTTTCCTTTCAGTAACTAGTAGGCCTCAGGGAAGAGTTATTGGATTCTCTCCCTCATTAAAGTCTTGTAGGTAATGGAGACCACTGTGTTCTTTGATCAAAGTCATTCCCAACATCAGCTTCGTGCCCTTCCCCCCCCCCCAAAGGAAATCATCATCAAGTTTTAGTACTTTTATTACAACTGTTTACGTCATCTTGGGGTTTATGTCACCATTGTGAACTGAGCCTCCGGATCAGCACCTGCTCCATAGAAGGGAGAACCTGAGTCAGAGCAGAGGGCAGGCAGCACAGCAAAGGACTTGACCCAGTTCTAAGAGTGGTTCCCTGCCTCCCCCCTTTCCTAGGCCCCAGTTCTCATAGATTACCTGTCCTCAGCCCAGCTTTTCTGTGATGCCTGCATTTCTTGATTTTGATCCAGTAGCTGCTCATTTTCCTGTCTTTCACACTTGGGAAGTTCAAGCTCTGTCAGTTCCTCTAGCTGTAGGGGAGGATGGAGTTAGTACTCCTGCGCTGAATTATACTACAGTTCAGCACCTTTAAACACAGCCAGTCCCTGTTGAATGAGCCCTTCCTGTTTATCTTCCTTACCTGCTCCTGAAGCCCTTCCTTCCTGCAGGGCCCAACCCCACGTAGGGTGAGGGCAGCCACACAGCAGTAACCAGACAGGGCCGCCTCCACTGCAGACATGAGCAAAGAAGGGATCCAGAGAGCCAAGGCTGTATCCTAAAAGGTGACGAGGGCAGGTGGGGGACTGAGAGGGAGGACAGAAGTGGCAAGTAGGAGTGGTTTAAAGGGCAGGGCCAAGGCCCTGTAGACTGCAAAAAGGCCGAGAAGAGCATGCACTCACATAGATTCTTGTGGGGTCAAACGGGCAGTCAGACTGTCCAGGCCCCTGGTCCAATGGTAGCAAAGGATCCAGCAGTCCTGGATGGCAATCAGCAATGAGACGACGGCCACCGTTGGCCACAGTGAGTGACACAGCAAGGAGGAGGCCCAGGGAGCAAGCCGCGGACAAGAGCAGGTTCCCTAGAGCTACTGCCAGGAGGGCCCAGTGCTGGCAGGGGCAGAAGATCAGGGTGAGCAGCTGCTCGCCTGCCTGACACTCCCACTGATAAGACACCTTGCTGTCTCTGAGGCTCCTCCCACTTAAAGACGAAGCCCAGTCAGGTCCTCATTTCCCTGATTCCAGGCCCCATTAAAGCTCCAGAAATCCCCTCTCACCAGTGGTGGGCGCAGAAGGTTCCTGGATGCCAAGAGGGCCACAAGTCCCACGGAAACACTCTGGAAGACACAAAGCCTGAAGCCCGCGCCGCTCTACGCCCCGCCTCCCCTCCCCCACGCGAGTGGACCCGCCCCGCCCCGCCCCGCTCTCACCAGCAGCCCCGAGCCCACGGAGATGACATTGGCCGTGGTGTACTCCGGAGTGACGGCGCCGCGGGGATTGGCTACGTGTCGCAGGACTGTGCCGTGCAGCACGGCCCCCAGGAGCAGGTTCACGTGACCCACCAGGATCAGTGCGAGGCCCACGCGCATAAGCCTCCGGGGGCCGCGGGCCGCGTCTGCAAAGTACGGGGGGAGGGGCAGGCCTGAGCCGGGAAAGGAACCGGAGGGCGCCCCGTGGAGCGCCCCCGAACCAAGGGCCGTGGGGCGGGTAGCCGGCGGTCGCAGGAGCCCGAGACCGGAAATTACCGAATTCGTAGAGGCCGCAGCACCTCATCCCGGCCGTCCGCGGCCCGCCGCAGGGCAGCTCTACCTGGCTCCGGCCCCGCCCTCGCACGCCCCGCCCCCCCCCCGCCCCCTCGCCACCTGAAGGCCCCACCCCGAGCGCGCCCCGCCCGGGGCTCCGAGGCCGCGCCCCCTAGCGGGGAAGGCGCACACACACACCACGCTCTTAGCAAAAAGTAGACTTTTATTACAGCAGCAACTGAGGCGAATCGAATGGCCCCCCAGGGCCACCACTGCAGCACCACCCTTCTCTCCCGCCCCGTCCGCCCCAGCGGGATTGTAGAATTCAGCTCCCCCAGTGCCCGTGGGCCTCCTTTCCACACAGGCTGGGCGGGAGCCGCCAGATCAGCTACTAGCCCCCAACTAGAAGGCGGCTGCTGAGAAGGCCCAGGCCCACGTCTGTGCAAAACAAGTAAACAAAGTGCAGAGGGGAGGAAGAGAAGGGGAAGGGGGAGGGTGATGCTCAGAACCAGGGAGCCCCAAAGCCCTCCTGAATAATAAAGGAGAGAAGGGGCTTCACAGGGTAATACTGACTGGGGGGAGGGGGCAGGAAGGCTGCTGCCATCTAGTGACGGCCACAGCTCTGATTAGGGGCCTGGCCCGAGGGAGCTCTAAGAGGAGACGGTGACAGCGGCTGAGTTGAGGGTGCTGTTCCTGGCAAAATTGAACTTGTTCAGGGTCTCCTCTAGCAGAGAAGTCAGTCGGCTCTGGTCAGCCTGGGGGAGAAGAGCTGGGTGAGACAGGGCAAGAGGAGAATGGAGCTGCCAGGGCGGCCGGAGGCGGGAAGCTCACCTCGCTAATGAAGCCCAGCTGCACCAGCTCGGCTGCCAACTCAGGGATGTTCTCATCTGACAGAGAAAAGGGAGAGGGTGAGCACAATGTGGGAGTAGTGGGCCCCCAGCCCTAGTCAGGTCAGCCCGGCTGGGAAAGAACGACACAAGCAGAACTGTCGCGTCTACCCTCCGGTTTTAGGAGCTAAGATATTCGTTCTGTGTGCCTCAGAATGTGTTGCTGCCTTGTAACCTTCCTCCCCGCCCCTAAGAATGTCTCTCACAGATAAGACTTAAGAGACTCTCATCCTCTGAGGGAAAGGAGAGACTCACTTGGCATTAGGTCACAGCTCAGGTGCCGGTTGAGTTTGTCCTCCAGTTTCAGAAGAAGCGTCAGCTGGAGAAGAGGACAGTCAGAAGATGAGGCTACTCTTTCCCACTCCCCACCCCCCCTTTCTCCTGGCCACCCAGCCCTCTGCAGCCCTGGCCCCCAGCCTTACATGGTGTTTGACTCCCTCCTCCACTGACTCGATGTTGCACTGCATCAGCACCACCTACAGAGAGGACACGCACGGGGTCATCACAGTAGTATCACCAGGCAAAAAAAAAAAAAAGGCCCCAACAAAAAAAAAAGGCCCCAACAGCTAGAAGACTTTCCAGCCCACAGGACAAGCTTGCTAGAAACCAGAAACACACTCTTTTCCCTATAGGACAAAGCCTCATTTGATGTGTCCTCTTCTCCTTTCCACCATGACCACAGAGACCTCCACATCCACAGAGCCCACCTTGCGGGTTTCCACCTCAGCTGGTTCAGGTGTTGGAGTCTTGACAGAGGGGGGCACAACAGGTGATGTCACCTCCTCCTGCTGTGGCTGCTGGGGCCGAGGTAGCCCAAAGGCTGTCAAGGGGTAGATCCCATTCCTAGAGTGAGATCAAACAGGTCACATGGGCTCCGTGAATGCCTCAGGACACCCACCCTGCTTCCTAAAGCAAGCCTTTCCTCTCACCCTTCTCTCACCTGACATCTTCAAGGAATTTATCCAATTCCAGAGCTGGTGACTGAGAGTACCTGCAGGAGAAAAGAGAAAACACGTGAAAGGAAGGAAATAAGCAAAACAGCAGGCTCAACAATTCCCAAAGAATTAACAGTTGACAGAAACCTCAGTGAGAGTGACAAATCTGTCCCTTTCAGACCCTCTCAGAGAGTTAGTTACTCACAAAGTCTGAACTGGTTCTCTTCCTGGTCCCGCAGGGATTTCAGCCAGTACAGCACTGGTATCCATGTTTTTGGTGATCTCCTCCAGAGCATTCTCTGGGATCATGTCTGGAAGACATGATGAAATGGAAAGTATAGATTAATGTCATGGAAGGCCCAGGGGTCCTGGGGGGAGTAAAGAATTCCTTTGGAAGTGGAAAAGGAAAGAGGGCATTGCTAGTGATACTTGTTAATGCTCCGACAGGAAGAAAATTCTTAGCAGGGCCAAGGGGACTCACGTTGGTGTCCCACAATGCAGTGGGCAGCAAGGAGTTTGAGTGAGGGCACTTCAAACAGTGCTGGGTGGAACAGAAGTTCTCTGGCTGTTGGTCTGCGAGCAGGCTCAGAATGCAGGCACTTTTGAATGAACTCCTAGAAAAGGGAAAAGAGGAAATAGAGTAGGCAGCTGGCAACCAGACCACTGTGTTCAACATGATACTTCCTCATTCATGACACTTAGCACAGGCTTCATACATACTAGGCAGTCAGCACTGGTTGAGGGAGTAACTGTTACTCCTCCTGAAACGGTTTTGAAGATTCTAAGGTATTAACATGAAAGGTATTGTTCAGGGTTTTTATGGTTTTACTTGATTTTCTACTCTCCAACCACCAACTTTCTTTTTTTTTTTTTTTTAACTATTCAAACTTCCAGATTTTTTTTCTGATTTTCTACTTCTGTGCTTTAATAGCCCACTCACTGCCTCCCTTCCTCTCCATCTCTCACCAAAATCACCTTCTCTGTTCTCAAACCTATCTGTTGTGGTCAATAGTATTCACCATCTTTTTCTTTTCCAAGCCAACTACCACAATTTCCTCTTTCTCTTACAATCATTTATTAAGTTCACTGATTTTCCCCAAGCTTCCTCTACATACACACACACCCCCATTTCCCACCTCCCATAGGTAGTCCCATGATAATTAACCTGCTTTTCTTTTCCTCCTTACAAACTTAAAAGCCAAGAAGGTCATAAACCTAATCTGTCACTTGAATGCCCCAACCTAAAGCTGAACTAGAAATTTACTCCACACTAGCCTCAGGACTTCCCACTAGTCTTCCCTGTCACACCATCTAATGAGTTACAAACTATCCTTGTTTGGACCTTCCTGTCCAGCCTCTTACTATAGTCTATCTACTGATTCATAACCTTATGCCCTTTAAATCTTAGCTCATTATTTCAGAGCACTTTCCCTACCTAAAACTATATAAATATAAATATAAGCCCACATGACAGATTTAATTCAAACTGATCAATTTGTTTAAAAATATCAAGATGTCTGTCTGAGAGCATATACCAATTACCTGAAGTAACCATTAGTTTACCTCCAGGCAGACACAACTAAATTAATACACAACCTTTATCCCCAATACTACCCATCTTAAGCCCTTAACCAGTGTGTGTATATACAAAAAACAAGGTAAGTACCACCTAGGGAAATACTCAAATAGTCACTGCTTTTGCCTGTCCTTGCTACTTTGTTTTCTTGCTCTTAGAAGAGAGTATATTCCAAGTAAAAAAGAAAGAAAAACCTAAAGACATTTCAAAGTCTGTTGAGGAAGTGATCCAGAAGATTCTTACTCTCTGTAATGGGTCTTCTAGAAGCTGAATGGCACTGCTGATAGCTTCCTGTGGCACATATGAGGACTCTCCATTGCCCTGAATCTCCAGCACTGCCATCTGCAGGGAGGGGGAACAGAAAAGCCCAGTAGAAACTTCAGAACTTCAGTGCTCCAGAATCACCCTCTCAAGACCTCACTCGTCCTCCCTCCATTTCCCCTTCCATCTTCTAACTTGACCCCTCCCATCACCACTGCCTGTGGTTTCCTCACCTCCAGTGCACACATGCCAAAGGAGTAGATGTCCACTGCTGTTGTCACATTAGTGACTTCTAGGGAAAACAGAGAAGCCTTTGTTTAATCAGAGGATGGGGGCAAGGGGTGGCAGAAATGCCTTTTAAAAACTTTTTGTAAGCCAGCAGAGAACTACAAGTTTCAGTTCTATTACCTCTGGGCCTCAGGTTATAAGGTAGAACCTGGGGAACAGGGAGAGGGGAAACTGGTGCCTCACCTCCATACTCTGGTGCAAAGAAGTGTAGATTCTTCTGCTCTTCCCGACAAGTCTTCACATGATTGTTGATAGTGTCAGGAGCCACTGGGAGTAGGGGAGATACCCACAATCTGACCACCATCAACAAAGCACAGTCTCACTCCAGAGAGAGGTCCCCAGAAGCCAAATTCTCTCCTGAAGACTCTAACCCTCAAGGCGCAAACCTGTCCTTTTCCCATCTTGAACCAGAGACTAAACATGATCACCACCTACTTCCCCTTTCTGGGGTCTACCACTTCTCATTTAAGGTCCCTAGGTCAGTAGCAACAAACACTCCACACTAAACTAATAGGCATGTAGGGGCCTTGGGCTGGCCAAGAAGCAATAGAGACTAAGGAAAAACTTTTGCTTGTGATCTGCTCACCTTCTCCAAAGTTCTGGAATATATAATCCCTGTCACATGAAAATGTGTGGTCTAGTTCTTTCAGCCACCCTCAAATAGCATAAAAGCATGGCAGCCCTTCCTAATCTGGGACACTTAAAGATCCCAGAAACTTGGATGATAAAAAAAAAAAAAAAAGGTAAGAAGAAATAACAATACTACAACCAACTAGACAGCCTCCTTCTTACCCACCTTTACTAACTGAAACTCAAAAACAGCTCAAAGTTGAACCAATACCCTTGAATCAGTCTCACATTTAATCCACCAAAATTGTAGACTCCTGCTCTACTCCGTTGTTCAACACTGCTGCCATAGGTCTGAACGAGGAACCAGGGCCGGGCCCAATTTGGACTCACTCAGATCATAAACAATGACTACAAGTCACAGAGAGTCTGGGAACACAGTATGATTTAGGGAACCATCCTGATGATGAAGGGAAATAAGAATCCAGGACATAAACGGCCAGCCAGAAACCACAGGAAACAAGCAAGTTATGGAAGGGCAAGCAGGTGGAGGGC